AAATACACCGAAACCTATTTTATGGCAGAAATGTACTGGTATGCTGATGGGAAACAAACCCAGGATCTACTATAACCTCGATAAAGCATTTACATAAGCATGTACGAGGTGAAGAAGCTCGCAATCGGAAGAGTTGAAGAGGCAACGGCGTATTTTTTTAACCAACAATTAAATTTGGCAAAGCTGTCATCTGTTTATGTGCCCCAGACTCTCGTCCTGGAAAAACAAAGTGTTTGATCAGCCCTGTCTGGTTATCAAATTATCAGGTTGCCTGGTTATGTGGTTATATCTTTTATACTGTTTACAATAATAAAGTGCTTACACTAGAGAATACTAATTTTTAAACAGATAACATGATAACCAGGCAAGTGTGAACACCCACAATGTGCATAGGTTATCACGGCTTTCAACAACAACAAAAAAGTACTACATTGGCACAGTCTTCAACGAAGGAAGAGAGTCAATTTCAGAAGTCGACGGATTGTAGAAACGTTCTCAGGTATTTTTGGAAAGGACAGACCTCAAAACTGGCTGTAATATCATTTACTACGGGTTTGAACCTGCTTCAAAAGGCCGTCGAGTATTTTTCGCAGTTTTTTAAATTTGTGCATACTTAGAAGAGAGAGATAACTTTGTAAATCGGATTGTTACTGAAGGTAAATTTGGACACATTACTACCATGAGCCTGAAGAAACAAAAGTAGAATAAAACAACTAAGTATATACTTATATAAGGGAGTTATATAAAAAAAATCATATCTGAAAAATCAGTGGTATGGAAGATATGCCTTATAAAGCACCGATCTAAATGATTTTCACTGCTGTGTATGATCGGTACGTAAAACGGTAACACAATTAAAAGATTTCAGCTACCTACTTAAAGGAGTTATATCGCAAACCCTTGTATCTGAACAATCAGTGGTATAGGAGACATACATACATAGCTTGACGATTTTCTCAGTGGACTTTGTATCATCATTTAGAAAATAGCTCACGAAATGTCTCGGAGACGTCCATCTGAAGGACTTTTAACGCCCATATCTGAACAATCAGTTGTGTAGAGGCTATGGGTTGCAGTGACCCGATCTTTGTAATTTTTATTGTAAACTTCTTTTGATAAAGAGCAAAAATAGTGCAAAATGTCATGTTTCTAGCTGCTTAAATGGAGAAGTTATAACAAAATATCTTATATCTGAAAAATCAGTTGTATGGGAGCTATATGTTATAGTGGTCCAACAAATGATTAATACATTATAAAAAATCACCCGCTTACCAAATTTTAGTCTGATATATCGAAAACTGAGGGACTACATTGCAATCAAACAGACAGACGGACATGGCTACATCGGCTCAGCTCGACGTTCTGATCTGAACCAAAATTGGCTATATTCACAGCATATAATGGTTCTGTTTGAAAACATATTCTTAGATAAAATTTGCGCGTTAATGCAGAGTTGATTGTTAAAATTATATTATTCCGTCTTTGGGGGGATTTTTCGTAGGGGATTTACAATGTGCTTATTATGTATTAGGAGAATTCACATTTCGTGCTGGGGATTTTATTTTGGAGGTTTTGTTTTCGGAGCCTTCGTTTATAACCCGTTTACAAAATAGTGAAAGTTAAGTAGATTCAAAATGAAAAAATACTTAGCGAGTACGAATATACTACCCTGCCCACCTTTAGTTCATACACTTCACACTTTTAGTTCATATTATTATTAAAATTATCAGCTAAAAAACATCTTGTCTCACAGATTTGCTCAACATCTTAGTCCAAAATTTTGCTGATTTTTGGGCGAAATCGAGCCCAAATTCGGGATTTCTATAATAATGACTTTTATGAAATGATACATTCTCATCAAGCTTGTGATTCGACCAATGCATTCAATAATTTGACTCCACTAGAAAATAAAGTTTCCAGCAAGTTAAGGTCTTTGCAGTCGGCGTTGATCTGAGCAGGTCACGGCTTAGTGTGTTGCTGTAAGTGTGTTGTTGTACCCTTCCAAATGACCTGAACGGCCATATTGAACACGTAAAGAAGTCCGAGGAAAATTTGGTCTCGTCTTCTTAAAAGACGAAATGCGGTTGATAAATAACTTTTTCCGTTCATTTTGGGTCAGCTAATAAAATTTATCTAAGCCTTCTCGCTCCAAAAAAGGTTCTATGCTACTCACACTCTTCAAATTTCTTAATTTTTAACTGACTTAAAAAAATATATATATATAGGGTTAAAATTCATATTTTTCGGAGATCGTTAGTGTTGCCCACTGTTTGTTTTCTCTGAAAACTGCGAAATCCCAAAAAATTTATTTTCAAATAAAAAAGTTGTAACTTTCACAACGAAGGAATTTTTTTTAAATTAAGGATTTAATTGTATTAAACATAAATAACATAACATAATTTATTTGATATGAAATAACATTGCCAGTTTAAATAATACGCAATTAAATAAAAAATGTCTTTATAAAATAATATATTTAAATGAAATTTTGGTAGAATGAAATTCAATCTCTCACTCAAACATTTTAACCCGACTCAAGAGAAAATTAAAGTACTTAACAAAAATTAATTGCTAAATATAAAATTTACAAATTGCAATAAAAATAGAATATTACAAAAAAAAATCTTTATTTTCGTAAATTGATTTCTTGAATTTAAAATACCACAGAGTGCTGGAATTAATAATTTGTTTATCATTTCGGTTTTATTTAAATTGATTTGAAAAATACTACTTTCAGGAGCCAAGGCCCGAAAAGCAAATATTACATGAGAACATTTTTCAGAAAGAGGAAACGCTGCACTACAAATTTACTTCCAAAAACAAAAACCGAAAGAAATATTTCAATTTAGCCGATTAAATCGGAAATTTTTCAAAATTGTTTTCTTTTTATTGGGTGGTAGTTTGAAAAACAGTAAGCTTATCAAAAAGAGGTAATTTACAGTTAAAACTGTGAATATGGCAACATTGGAGATAGATAGAATTTAAAGTTTTGTTGAATTGAGTAGTTATTAGCTAGTGTAATGAGTAGAATATGGTAAGAATAATATTCTGAGCATTTTTCATAAAGAAAAAAAGGAAATTCACAATATCGTCCAGAGCCAACTATGTAAAATAAATCTCTAAATAGGTTTAGTAACGTGAGGATTAGGGTTGTTCGACTTTACTAGAAAGTCCGCATTCAAATTTTCGACGAAGAAGAGTCGACTTTTTAATAAAAAAAAATGTGTCAAACTCTGCATTTAACTTATATATTAGATATAAACATAAGGGTCAGAATACCCCAAAAATATCTCTTATTACTTAGTGAAAATCAATGATGGGCAAAAGACAAACAGATACTATACGGTTTTTAGAAATTTTGAAAATTGTGCCAGTTATACAGCAAAATGTTGGTTGTGAGGGTTTCTAAAAATTGATCTTTTTGAAAAATAGTTTTAAATTTTTAAATTTTCACCAGAAAAAAATTTCTAAAAAAATTCTTGAATTGGTAATTACGGACCACTTTTTGAAAATTTTGCCTTTCCTTTGGAACAGAGGTTGCGATTATTGGTAGGAGTTTAAGTGACATGGGGATAATTTCCCTTTAAAGTAGCCCAGACAGCTAGTAGATTGGGATTATTCACACGACTAATGTCGCATCTCAACTGGAATTCCACCAGCAACATCTTTATCGGTGTTTAAAATTTTGTACCCTACGGATTGGTCAAATTCGAAGCAAGGAGTGTCTGTAAAAACTTGCATAAACACACGTAGAAAAACCTTCTTGTATGAAAATATTAAAATATACAGCTATGCACATATATCTCACCTCATTATTAACTGAATATTGTGGGGACAAAGGATTAAGAATATGTATTAATTTTATTTATAGAAGAAGGCACATTCTTTTTAAATTCTAGGAATTTCTTTTCGTATAATAATTTTATGCCCTGATCTTAAATGATTTGACAATGTTGTTGTACTGTTAAAACTCATTTCTCTACCATACTTTTTACATTTCACTTTAGTTTTATTTGCTTTTTTTTTTAATAAGACCGAACATCACTCCACGCCGTTGTTAGAAGAAAAGTTTTATTGTAAGGGACGCCACTGCAATAAATTTAAAAAGTCGAGTGTCGAAAGTGAAAAGTCGACATCCATAAACTGAATATCGATTACTAAAATTCGACTTTCAGGAACAATACAACAATACTACGATTATTTTTCTTACTTCCTGTTTGTAACAGTAATCAGTAAAAATCGCCATAAATTAATCAACTGACAAATCGTCGAATACTACTATATAACAAGGAAAATAGAATACAACTTATCTCAAGTTCTTTCTTTCTTTCTGATTTCATGGGTAAAAGATTTACTTACTTGTTTTTTTTTTTTGTGAACACCTTTTAAGCAAAGTTGGCAACCGTCCGGTTTTCACCCGAACAGTCCGATTTTTAGAGCTTTAACCGTGTCCGTTTTGATGACATACCCGGACATCAAAATATCCGGTTTCGAGGGTCCAGGTAATAAAATGATTAATATTTTTGTTTATGAAAGTTATTAAGTATAGAAAAAATGACACAAAATAGCCTTTCAAAACTATTTATCTTAGTTTCGTGTTAAAGCTATGCTGTAAGTTTTCATAAAATTAGTACCTTTGATTTTTTGATCACCCAACAATCAGCTGTTTGTCGTAATGGCGATTTCTATTATGTTATGTTATGTTTACATTGCATGTGGCTAACTACCAAAGTGAGTGATTTTCCGAAAAGAATAACAAAGCGTTTTTGTACTTTTAAATAACAGTGGATTGCCTTATACATATTCTACTTAATACAGCGAAGCATAGTTTGAAAATTTACCTTTCTTTAACTGTACGGTTTTTGGTTTTTTTGCTCCTAACACGTAAATTGTATTGGTTTATTATTTAACAAGTAATGTTCACTATGCTCAAATATTATTAATGTTAGCTTTTACCTTCCAAAATTTGCCTAGAACTAAATAGGTTATTTATTACTCACCTTTTCGTATTTCAATTTCTAACCAGATTTTGAAGCAACTTTGGTAAAGGACACAAATAGTTTTATCTACTTTCGTTAATATTTTTGTGTGTATGGTTGTGATTTAAATAATTCTCAAATTCTTTCACACTTTACACTTTGAGAAACTAGAATTTAACGAGTTTCGTTTCGAATTTCAAATTTAGCACTGTCACCAACGTTCACATTCCAAATCCACAAATTAATTCAACAGAAGCACTGAATTCTTCTAACAACCAGTTTTGTTTCGATATCGGAAATTTTAATTAAATTCTCACATATAATTTAAGACCGGAAAACACAACTTTCTTGTTGGCAGCTCGATATTCGTCTGCCCAGACAAATTTTAAATCGACTATGGATCAGCGAAGACTATTGCCACATTTGTTTATTGCAATTTTAGTATTTGTCTGGTGCTCGCTCACCGTTAACACGTCCAAACTAACCGAATATTTAATCGCAACTGAGCGAAACACAGCAGTCGCGAAACCTAAAAAGTGTGTGCGGCTCTGTGGGGCTGTGTTTGGAGCAGCGGCGTACTTTGTGAGCAGATGTGTTGGCGGCAAAACACTGCTTGTTGTGCTTTTGTATTTGCCCTTAACATTGCATTTGCTGTATTGGCTTTGCCAATTGAACGTTGTTGGTGGCGAACTTGTTCAAGTGATGCCGGGCGTCATGGCAGAGAGATTGACGCTGGGCTCACTAAACAACTCAACAGGGAAGCCAACTCGTGTGGAATTCCCCGACTTTGCGGGGAATTTCTGTTTGCGTGGTAATCGGGGAATGGGCCGTTTTTTTGTTGGGAATTTCAGTTTATGTGGGGGATCGGTGGATGAACTATTTTTTTTTTGTGAGGAATTAGGCGTTAACTATTTTTTTCTTTTGCGCTACACTATTTCATAATGAATTAAAAAAGTTGTACAAGATATGCAACTGTAACTAAAAGTACTAATTATGCAACCCTGAGTTATTAAATATTCAAGTCTGGCAACGAATAGGGAACAATGGAACCACTATTTGCAAGTTTTTATTTGAAATTTCTATTTTTGCCGCCATCGGCTGTGATTTTTTGCTTTTCCTTTCTTTCGAAGGTAAATATTAAATAATAGCAAATTGTAATCATATACATATACATAATTGTACATTCATTAGATGCCAAAAACTACAACTTGTTCAATTCTAATATAATAAAGTTTCAAATGGCTAAAAATAACCATTGATTTTTTAGAATTTTCTTTGTCGTATTTGCTTCAATATAACGAATAAACAAAATTTAGTTTTATATCGAAGAAAACGCAACACCTTCGGAAAAAAGCTCGCAATTTTTACAAAATTTTCTCGATTTTTTTTTGTAAATATTCCACAAAATTTGAAACTTGAATTTTTATAAAAAAAATAACTCAAATTATATAACAAAAAAAATACTGCTGAAAACTTGTAAAAATTTGGTGCGACTAAAATTTTTTGAACAGATATATTTACATTATTTATTCTTTATTTGTCAACTAACTTTATTAAAGTTTGGTTTAGTGTATGAATGCATAGATGAATCACATTTAAAAATAAAATAAACAGAAAGACCAGCAGTATATCGAAATACATATGTATGTACCTACATTTTTTTTTTTTTTTTTGAAAATAAGAGATATCTATGGGTGGGGAATTTTACAAAATTTCGGGCAAAATCGGGGAATTTTACTGTCGAAATCGGTAATTTTCTCAAAAATGAGTGTGGCTACCCTACAACTCAACGAAACGTACTTACACAAAGCTTTGCGACCGGCATATTGTTGGCGCTCCTCGCTTGATTTTACGCTCGCTAGGAAAAATGCCGGTAAACAGCTACGTGCGAATTATGGTGTGCTCTAATAACAGAAATACACCTATAATTACACTGGTGGGGGCATATGCCGGTGTGCATACATGTATGAATATGAATGTGTATCTTATGTATATGTATGTATATCTTTTTGTTAGGGCTCCCCACATTGTTGCTTGGTTGATGTTGCAGAATTTCTTTTCGCAACATATTTAGAATCGACAAGAATATATCTGTGGTCATAAGCAATAACCGCCTAAGTCGACTTAAGAAAGAATTGAGTTATACTAGCGAGCCCGCATGGCGTCAAAACGCCAAAATTTAATTATTTAAAAATCGAGTTGTGAGAGGTCTCGCATGGTGTCGGTTTTGATTTAATCAAATTTCAAATCTTCCGGTACCGCTAAAAAGGTTCTAACTTAAAAAAATTAAACCCGTGCACATCTATGTAGAATCCCAGTTCTTTGATTTCACTTCTCATTTTGGAAATTCGAAATAACGGTGCAGATGTGATGACCTTAAAAAAAACCTGTAGATGTATGATAAAGTTTTATTTTTTTACTAATAACTCGAGACTGCTCTTCACTGAGAAACGGCTGCACGGTGTTGATGAAATATGGCACTCGGATCTCTTATAACACTGACTAAAATTTGGAATATTTTTTAAGTTTTTGAAATTCAATTTTGGGCGTATTAACGCCATGCTGGTTTACGAGTATATATAGATATGCTATCGTATTCTGCAACTACTATTCCATGTGTATGTGTAATCCGTATATCGCCAGCTAGGCTATTCAAAAAGTTATAGAGGACCATATTTTGGTTTCGCTATAAGGTTAACATTACAATCCAAATCTTTAAACCGTTTTTTCTCGAATTCAGATTTTTCAACTTAAGCGGTTATTGCTTATGACGACAGATATATTGAAATTATTGACACTTTCTGGAGATCGATGCCCCCTGACACCGACTTTTTAAAAATGGGCTTATTTTGAAACTTTTCTTTCTATTAAGTCAAAAATCTGAAAAACAATCGAAACCCGATGAAATATCCGATGTTTTTAGAAATTGTTTTCCATTGTCGGATACGCTTATACGGATATACAGTCGGCGTCAAAAATATGAATATTTTGATGTTTTGACTATTTATTTATTTATATTTTCCATATTCTGTCTTATCCTGAGTTCCGCCCGAAAAAAATTTCACCCGAAAATTTAGTAAATACGTGAAAACCATAAGTGAAAAGTGAACCGGTTCGGGGAAAATGAAACTCATGATAAGGCTGATTAAATTTTTCTTTTTTTTTTTATAAAAACATAGTTCTTTCAACAGAAAAAAACAGCAAAATCAGTCTTATCAATTTCATATAGAACTCAGGAAAATTCAAGAAACACCAAACCATTTTCATCAAACTTTCAATTTTATTTCTTAGATTAAGTCTGAGTAAAACCTGCATACTCGTACATAAAAAAATTTGTGGTATACTGTCCTTCGCAAGAATGATAGGATGCAAGATTGCGCCAATCGAGCTGAGAGCAACTGCGTGTGACGTCACATTATTATGAGAATGAGAGTGTAAAAAAGTAATTTTGAAGAAGAAGAGGAAGAAGCGAACAAGTGGTTCGAAATATTGGTGTAAAACTAGGTTGAATTGTACCTACTCTTCAGCTTCTTAAATTTTAACGTACATTCGGTACAAGCTCATTATTTTAGGTACGTTTGGAACGTAGTAAAATATTATTTCATGTAAGTCCAAAATTTGTTATGGTACAGAAGAAGATCAAAAATATATTTGCACAAAAAAATAAATGTTTTCTCTGAAAATTTAATATTCATCACTTGTGCAAAAAAATAATAATGTGACGTCAGCGAAAGGTTGGATGTCGTCAAATCGAGAAAGAGAGGATTAGCGGTGCGCGGAAGGCGCCACCCCTGTTTCGCTGCATCGTGGTTCTTCGACTGACTGGGGTACTATAAGTTCATAACAATATTTATCGGTGCGACAATGTTTACACTGTAATCAAAAGCATCAGTAATCACAGACAGCGTTGCCACTTGAAAATATTTTTAGGTACCAAAACGCCAACCAGATCAGTTTCCAAACTACCAAAATTTTTTCATTTCTCGAGTTTGCGGGGTTTTTAGCTACACAAATTAGCAGTAAAAATTAAAACTATACATAATATTGTTTACGGTAGTGGTTAATTATTCACACCAATCTTTAAGATTAAACAAAATAAATTCGGGCCTTTAAATAAAATAATTAAGTTATTGTAAAATATGTTAATATCTTTGAGATTGATTCAATTCATATCAAACATTTTTTTTTGTGTGAAAAAAACGAAAGCAGACATTTTATGCATTTCAATAAAAAAAATCCAAATTTGATTCAATTTGCATGCACTTACCCTTTTTTACCAATACATTCACACTTTGCAAATTGCCTATCACCAATTGTTCTTTCAACAGCTAATCGGTCATAACTTTGGGAAGTGAGTTTTTGTTTGCAGAAAATTGTCTGCTTAATAAAATATAGAAAAAAAATAAAGAAATCTTATACGTGTAAGCAAAGTGAAAGCAGTGTTTTGAATGTGTAAACTTAAATTAAGCGAACAAATTTTAATATTCAATTTGGTTGTATTTTCAAAACATTTTTGCCTACCAAAAGCTTCATCAAACCAACCAAGCTACCAACGGAGAATGAAGCTACCAATTTTGGTCCAATTGGACCAAAACGGCAACGCTGATCACAGACCTTGCTGGCAACAAGTCAAAGCAACATTTCTCTCATAAGCTCCCATTCTCTCAGCAAATAACTGCGACTTCGGTAGACACCGGATGTGGCTGCGTTTTTATATTCACATACACTATCGCAATTGCTTATTGTTTTTGCATAGTTTTTTGCTTTGCAAAGCTTTTTATGCTTACATTTTTTACTTAATTTTTTTTTGTAGGTACTTTGGTAATATACACACATGCATATGTGTACACATTTAAACAAATTCATATTTATAGCATTATTTTGTAGTTTTTATTTACATTCATTGGCATTCGGTTCAATTCCCGGCAGCTTTTTTTCGTTTGTGCCATTCATAGTTTTGTGTTTGCATTTCATCATTTGATTATTTTTTTATGATGACAAGAATATTCGTATATTTATGTATGTATGTATGTAGGTAGAAAATAATAAAAAATACATTTAGCCACACAATTGCATATGTAATCATATGTGTATACATATTTAGATGTGTTTCTCATTTTACTCTACTTAAGCCCACAGCCACCATATCGGCTAAAAAATGACAAAATCAGGATACTCACGGGCAGACACACTCTACTCATTTGTTGGCCATTCAGCCAAGATGGGTGAGATCATCATTTGTCGATCGTTATTATTACTTTTCAGACACTGTTGTACACAAACATCTATGTATGTAGGCGTGGTTTTGTTTGCTTTTAATTTTTCAGGCAAAAATTTATGACAATTCATTAAGTCTGCATTTGGCCAGAGTAATTCCTTCAATTCAGTTAAATTGAAGTACATTTATTTAGTTTTGTTATTTCTTCGTATGTATGTATGTAGATTCATTGAGGAATGAATTGTTCAATGAAATGCAATTAAAAAGCGGAAAACATCCAATTTGTAAAGGCTTATAC